TCTTTCCCTTCTACCATTTCAGGCTTATATTCATTTCACAAGTTCCTTGACCAGTGGATGGATTACAACACTCAAAGAAGAAGGATTAATAACTCATACCCAAATCACAATAACCATATGTTTCATATTTGCAGCCCACAGATTTAGTCATATAAGATCAAACAAAAGATAAATAGGAGAATTTACAGACATACCACCCAATTCTTATGAATTTACACATCTAACACAGACTTCTATTTTTACAATCACAACATTCAAAACTTTCATATCACATAAAATATATCACCATTTTCAAGCATAGGCACTGTGGCATGTATGTAAAAATTGAACTTTTAAGTGTTAGATATATAATTACATAAGAATTGAGTACTATAAATGTTCCAAGATGAAAAATTGAAAAAGAAATAATTTCTTCTGATAGCAAAATTAAAAAAAAAAAAAAAAACTAAAATCAAGTGAATAAATGAATGGTTTAGAAGGCGTATAAACTCACGTAGGCGCAAGCTTGCCGAGACAATCAAGCTCTTCACCAGTATCTTCATCCCAAACCTTACCAGAAATCTCAATAATAAATGATCTGCCTTCAGTTGCAGGAAGGCCTCGACCGGCAAGCAAAGTTAAATCTTTAGCATTAAGCTCTCTCCCATTCACCACAACACCAGTATTTCCGGCCGCGCAGTTCTTGTTCATGGGATAATTGAACTCCTCGATAAATGGCTGCATGTAAAACACTTCATTAGTTAAGCTGTAAATAATGATTAAATTTGTATGAATTCACATCAGTTAATCTTACTGGAATTATTCCAAGACAAGCCTGTCCCATCACACCCCAGAATCCGGCACGGTAGTCATACCTGAATGACAATTATGTAACAAAGGCCATGAATTTAGGAAGATTTACATAACATTTTGAATTTAGGAAGATTTACATACATACCGCTCAATTCTTTTGTATTTACATATATATATGAAGTAAACTTCAATTTTTACATACATATCACGTTACCCATGCATGAAAAGGTGTTGATCACTTCTTAAAAGTTAAAATGGCGATATTTTTTGTGATATGAACGATTTGTGTGATATAAATGTAAAAAAAAACAGAGCAAAGTTTAGGTCTCAGTATGTAAATACATGAGAATTGGGGGGTATGCATGTAAATGCTCCATTTATGCATGTATATGTGTCAAGTCTCGAACCCGAGACCTCAAGTGTGGGAGCTGAAGGTCCCAAACTCGGGCTGGGACGAGCTACATGAGAAATATCTTAAAAATGATGCATGAGATTGGATGAAAATTATATTCATGCTTAAGTTCCAAATAAGCAAAAAGAGAGCTGTCAAACAATCAACAAGTGTATTGTAAAGGGATTACATCATATATATATAATATATATATATAGTTGAATTGAACTACATTGCACAAAAACTAATTTAGGGGTTAAAACACCAGTAATGAGCTTCACCACAAAAGTGCACAAAAGCATGTCTAATATTTCATATTAATTCGCCTTTACAGCTATTAACTAACTAAAACAGCAAAAAAAAAAAAAAAAGATTGACAAATGACAAAATTAACAAGTGAACAAAATTTCTCATACCTAATTAACAAAAGCATTATGGTATCTTACCAATAAAACCCAGGATGGATTGGTCCAGCGAGCTTTTCCGCCCTCTTAACCAAGCGATCGGTTATAGAATGCCCGTTAACCGAAACTCTAGACTTCCCGGTTTCGTTAGATTGATTGAAAGGAGAGAAATCCTTGAAGCTTTTCTTAATGAGACCGGCGAGGAACGAATCCCCGCCCTTAGTAATCCGATGCTCCTCCTCTTCTTTGCTCACATCCCATGAATCTTGAGAAAAACCAGCATTCGGATAATCTTCAGCCGATAAATCCATCTCTGTCGCCACTGGCACATCTTTCACAGAGTTCTGTTTGAAATTGCCTGTATAGGAAGTGATTCTGTCCTGATCAGAGCGCTTGCTTCTACTTCCACTCCCAGGATCATCACCTATTTTATTCCCAGAAGAGTACCCAAAATGCTCACGAAGAGGTAAACTCGGAACACGAGCAATACCATCAACTTCACCAGGAATCTCGGTAGAATTCGGAACATCTCGTGCGCAAATCACGCTATCCGGACTGCCGGACGTCCCTGATGATGAACAAAGCCCATGCATTTTCTCAGAATCACTAAGATGTCCACACCCTTTTTCTACTACTTCATTGCATGAAACAGGAAAAGAGGGCATAACAATCTTCTCATTGGAAGATCTCACATCGAAATAGCCCGGGCTATCATAATCGATTGAGTATGAGATAACTTGGCGCCGGTTGATGTTTCCCTGACACTGCAAAACATCTTTAGAGCCATCACTTAAATTGAGATTGTTCGCTGAATTCCCCGGCAAAGTCGTTGTGTTATTCGAAGAAACCAGTCTTCTTCCGTCGAGCTCGAATGAAATCAATTGAGAGCACGAACCGCAGCGCAGCTTATGCTGATGCTTACCCATCTCGAGAATCTCCTCAGGGATTTGCAACAGCTCAGAGCAATTGTAGCATACTATGAAAGGCGCTGCCCCTGCGACAGGGCGACAAGGTCGTCTTTCTTTTCTAGCGAAGGCGGGTTTATGTTGATGGGGTGGCTCATAGGAATGGAGAGGAGCTTTGGGAACTCCATGGTTGTAACCTTGTGATCCAAACATGGGAGGACCATCAGCCGGATAGAAACCATGATTTCCTAAAGGACATGGAGGACCCCTTAATGGAACTTGTGCCGGCGGCAACCAATGGCCATTGTAGCAGTGCATGCATGCGCAGGCAGGTTGATGATAGAATCCATCATTATGATAAGAACTAACTGGATCTGAATCTACGTGCCCGTAGATATACCCATTGGAGGATCTCTGTGCATACTGGCCATGGAGGTTAAAAGGGGGAAGAGAATATGGTCTGGAAGTCTCTCTGTATCCATGAACACCATTCTGCAATTGTGTTGAAGGATAAAATCGAGGCATTTCCGCATTGTGCCCATTAGAATGCTGCGAAGAATTACGATTCGAGGTAGAAGAGCCATTTGGAAACCAGCTACCTCTACCGTTGTGGCCATGAGAGCTCAAAGATGCTGACATGTTGTTGATGGAAGAAACTCTTTCTTTGGGGGCTTCAACAACCTCACAGGATTGTTTGATCTGATCTCTCAACTCATCCAGTTTTCTCAGCAACTCAGCTCGGTCTTGTTCGAGGAGCTCAACTCGGTCAGAACCCTCTATGTTCTGCCTTTTTGCAGCACCCTCAGAATTAATGTGATTAATACTACAATTGTAGTTTGATGGACCAGCAAGAGGATAAGAAGCTGTCTGAATATCTCCTATGTGGACCTTCGGTGTTCCTCGAAAAGGAGCCTTTTTGGCCATTTCTTCACCTTCCCAAGCTTTTGTTTGCCGAAATTTAGAGTGGCCGTTTGAAAACAAGATCTGAGCTTTGGTTTCATGGTTCTCTTCCACCTTTCTTTTTGCCAACCCATCTACATTGTCACTAGGAATATTAGGACAACCCATTGGTCGGTTCTGAAATTTTCCATCTCTAGCATCAGATTTGACTGTTGGAAGAACATCCATTATCGGCAACTCTCCTTCTTCAAAGCCTTCTCTTTTCTCGTTACCATTAATCAAACCAACATCAAAAGTTTTGCTCAATCGTTGCCCCTCCTTAAATTCAAACTTATCACAGTCCGCATCAACTTCCGCGTTCTTCTGAGAGTATTTGCTCAACTCTGTATCAGACTTCTCCGGGGAAGCTTCAAAAACCGAGGGTTGCTTCTTCGCTGCAGGCATAACCAGTTCCCAATCACAAAACAAGATAATACATTTAACCAAAAAATCCCTTGAAATCTTCCACCAATATGGTAAAAATAACAAATTTAACTCAAAATTCAAACGAATTCATTCAATGGCTGAATCGCATGGAACAAGAACAAGAAATTACAACAAAACTAGAAAAAGGTAAAATTTTTGCGCGCCCCCCACCTTGAAGAGTAGCGTCGCAACCGCCGCAGCGGTAGAGAGTGAAATTGGCGAGCTCAGGTAGCAGCTTGTCGCATTTGGGGCAGCGAACCACCCGAACTTTCGCTCCTACTCCTCCACTTTCCGCCATTCCTCGAAACACCAAAAACCCTAAGCAGATAGAGAAGCAAAAGATCACCTTCCTAGCGGAGAAAGCATCTGCTTCAAGAGAATCAGCAGCAAACACAAGAGCCCGATAGAGCCGTAAGAAATGACCGGAAGCCTCTGCAATTAGCAGGAATCCCGGGTACCGTTTTAGCTAAAGAAAGCCAGCGCTATAAAGCTCTCGTCTTGGACATATTTCCAAATCAATCCGCCATTTTGGAGAAAGAAAAAGCGAGATTGCGATTTTGACTGATGGGGTGAGAAGACGACGGGCATATTAACGTACGGAGAGGTGGGAGTAAAAGAAGAGAAAAAGGCGGGTCTAAGGAGGTAGTTGAGTGTAATGATATGAGAGAGAGCGCGCGCAGGAGGAAGGAACAGCGGAAGGAGGTGCTTTTCTTTTGCTTTCTCTTTAGCTGATACGGCTTTGGTGATTTTTGATTAGAGAAACGTAAAAGAGAAGGAGAGCTGAAGAAGAAGATTTCTTTATCTCGCTCAGATGCTTCTGCTGTTGCTTTGGCTTTGATTTTTTAGTTGTGACAGAGAGTGAGAGGGATGGGCTTGTCTTCAATTAGTAGAGATTAGTAGAGCTAGAGTTTCCCAAAGAGAGGGATAACTCATCCAGTTTGAATGAGTACTTGCTTTCTGCATGTTCAGAATAATGGGAAAATGAGGTACCGCCCCGTATGAAAGCAATTAGTGAAAATCTAATAATAATAATAATAATAATATTATTATTATTATTATTATTATTATTATTATTATTAATTTTCTAATAGAGAATGATGCCTAAATTTTACCAGAAAATATCTTAGCAGATGACATTAGATGATTTAGAAGACATCATGAGAAATAAAGTGGACATATTTGCAAAAAAAATATGTATTTATAGAAAAAAGATTATAGATTTAAATTTATAAGAAATTGCAATATTTTTTATTATTTTATAGGTAGGGAAAACATTATTGTAGACTTTCTAAAGATTAGATTGCTGGGTTTTTTTTTTTACTTAAAATTCTAAATATCAGTATTATTATACTGAAACAGAGACTGATAATAAAGTATATTTTAACAATTAATTTTTAATTTAGTTATCATTAAGGCTTAATTTTTCAAAAACAAATATATTTTTAGATTTCACACCAGTAGTCATGATATATCATTTGTTTTATAAGTGCACTTATTTTAATGTTTTGGAAAATAAGATTCAACCAGGGTTGAGCTTAGGATAATTAAATACTAAAATAAAGATTAAAATTATCTTAATATAATTTAAATGATGTAATTAAAAAAAAATAATATTGTTGCTTATATCACTTTAGTATATATATATATAATATTATAATTAAAAAAGTCCATTTCACCCAAAAAGAATTCATGGTCAATTGATTAAAATAATAATTGTCTTTTAATTATTGGTCGAAGTTAAGTACTTTATTGCTGAATTACTTATTAAAAAATATTATTTTAGTTTAGATGTTTTTTGCTAAATAATATATTATTTTAGTTAAGTGTAATATATATTTTTTTTTTCTTCAAGTATGGTGATGGACAGAGTCAATCTAAATCCAGAAAGAGTTAGGTACCAATCTGACTAATTCAAGAAATATTAAATAGCAATTTGTGGAGCTAATAAATTTACAGGATTGTTAACGATCTGATTTCGAGCCGAGTTCGGGTCGGCTCAAAAAAATTCGATCCAAAATTTTGGCTTATAACATGGTTCTTTTATTTCCGTCAGAGTCAAATTTCGAATCAATTTTTGTGCGATTAACAATTTTTGAGCTAAATTCACTAAATTTACAGCCCTAGAATCACTAGTGGGGTTAACAATACAATTTCTAGCCGAGTTGGGGTCTGCTAGAAAAAAAAATCGATACAAAATTTTAGCAAGTAGCTTGGTTCGTTTATTTCGATCCGATTTGCACCTGAACTAAAATTCAAATCAATTTTCGAACAATTAACAATCTTCGAGCTAAATTAGCAGCTCTAATTCGAAGGCCATAACATTAACATTCTTTCTAAAAGCACAACTTAATCTCTTCCAATTTTTTTTATGGTATAAGAAGCTTCAACTAATGTCAGAGTTAATTTGTTTACTATGTTAATTCAAAGAATACCTTACATACATAGCACTCTGATTCTATATATTTACATATTTAACACCTAAACTTCAATTTTTACGTATATACCACCTGACCTGCACATACCTTTAAAAAAATTAAAATAGTAGTATTTTGATGTGATATGAAAGAATTGGGTGGTATTAAAAAAAATGTAAAACTTAAGTGTATTAGATATGTAAATACATATATAAGAATTGGATTGTATATATGGAAATGCCCCTTAATTTGCTCTTAACCGAAAATATATTAATATTTATCTTTAAGTGCAATTAATTGCCTTAGAAATTATATATATATATATATATATATATATATATATATATATATATATATGGCTCTGAATTTATGTTTGAAGTGTTTAAAGTGGATTGCAAGTTTTCGAAAGGGCTTTAACACAAAATCGGGAAAGAGGAAAGGAGATTTGAAGTGTCAGAAAGAAGGGGAAGTATTTTGCATTCATTAGTGCCTCTTGGGATTTAAGAAAATTTTGTATTAGTGGAGAGGGTTAGGCGGGTGGAGAATTGATTTCCACCGTCCAACAGTTTGTTCCCATCTTGGTTAACTTCATGCCTCGAGCCAAGTTATGACAGATTCTTTTATTAGTGAGAAACATAGTGCTAATGAAAGAGTACATAAGACACTATAGGGAGATGTTGGATGAGATTATAGCTAATATCTCCCTTATTAGGAGAATTACAAGAGAAATTTTGGGTCAAATATTTTTAATGAACAACTCCATTGATCAAGTTGAAAACATACTTAGTAATGTTAAGGTAAATTTTGGCTCACAAACCCAACGAAATCTATCTACTTCAACAAAATCATTGTAGAGCACATAAAATATGAAATTTCTTTTGAAGCCCTACATGGACACCTAAATCCTAGGATCTTGATTTATATAATGGTGATTGTTATGATTCTTAATACTTTCAAATGACTTGAATGTGGGCCTCTTAATTCTACTAGGCTCACTCTGTTTTACATTAGGAAGTTTTCTTTATTAAGGCACCCCAAAAAAGCCCAATTCAATGGTCTTATCTTGATCTCTCTTCAATTCAACTGATAATCAAAGTTGAACCCTTTGAGGCTCAAGGAATCAGAATATCAATTGAATTACCATTTTGAGAATATGTTTTACATTGTAATGTGAGGGAGAAGAGATTTGCAAAATAATACATGAGCTCATCATTATTGTTTAATATTATTTTATAGATTTAAATGATGCCCTTTAAGTGTATTTTTAAGACTTTTTATTACCTTTAAGAAGCTTTTTATAATGCTCTATAAACCCAATATGTTTATCTTATGGGCTTAATTTTTGTTTTACTTGTGGCCTATCTTATATTATGCTTTGAATAGTGTGAAAATTATTTGGCATATTTAATATTAGTTTTATTTTGATCAAGTATATAAATAACTACTTAAAAATTGAATCAATATAATCATAACTTACATGTTAATCTCTTTTTTATTTAATTTATATTGAGGATGTATTTGCATTTTCTAAGTTATCTTGGTCTTTTAGGCTTCAAACGCTCGTCTTTCTAATCATGATCGATGCACAAGTACTTCATAGAGCATATTTAAACATTTAAGCATATTATATAAGAGCAAAATGTTAATAACAATTGAAATAAAAAAAGTGTTTTGTGTATAATTTATCATGGAAGATCCTTTTTACTTTATTATTGTTATTTTCTAAATTATATATAATAAAACCTTAAGCATCTTAAGATGCTTCAGACAAACCATTTTTTTCAAGATTACTCACCTTAAGTTAATGCTTATGTATTTTACCTCTTATAGAATTGAACTATATATATATATATATATATATATAT